CTCTTCCTCCTGCCTTCGTTGCTCTTCCAATAACTTTTCTTTTTCCTCTTCTGTAGCTTCTTCCACAGCTTCTTCTAACTCTTCTTCCCATCCAACTACATTGCCAACAGCATCAATAATTTTATTATCAAAAGTAAATAAAACTGTTTCAAAAAGGTCTGGATTTAATTTATGCATATTAATCAATAAATCACTAAGCGGTTTATAGTTTTCAGAAGTATTTTTCATCATGGATACCATAGGAATAAGGCGATTTGCAAGGAGTTTATATTTTTCCACATCACCTAGATAACCACTTAGTGTCCCATTGTTTTCAACTTCTTCCAATTTAGGCACGGTAATCTCATTTAACCAAATAAGAATTCCATTAATGATCTTACGCTTTTGAGGTTGAGTAAATGAAGCAGACTTTTTTTGCGAAGTTCCAGAGTTATTTAATAACAACAAACACTTATTAAGAGCTGCTAATGCTTTATTACTACCAATCCCTGATTTCAACCCAGGAAAATATGATTGAATTATTTGAGATTGTTCCGGCTTGTTCTCATCATTAACACTTAAAATAAGTTTTGGTATAAAATGTTCTAGCTGTATAACTTTTGCTAGCTCAACAAAGATATTTGGATCCATAAACTTTTCAATTACTTTTTGGTCTGGATCGTTCAGGAAGTTGATCAAAACTGAACTTAACTCTTCATCAGGTGGAAGTAGTGATTTTTGTTTCGCAGATGATGATTCCAACGATCGTTTTACTATTAATTGTGCTACAACTAGTAAGCCTTCAATACGTGTCGACCACTCGCTATGTTGTAATTGTTCAATAATCGTCAATTTTCGTGGAGGTTTTGGAGTAGGTGGAGTTTTTGGAGTAGGTGGAGTTCTTGGAGTAGAAGGTGCTTGATTTGATGAACCACGTTTTATTGGTGTTAATTTTGGGCTCAATAAGTTACTGGAAGTGTTACTGGAAGCGCTTGCTGAAGATTTGGATCTCACCATGGGCGGTGCGGGTGATTTAGCACGCATATGAGAAAGGTTTTGAGGTGTAAGTTTCGATGCATTTTTTCGAAGGTGATTCAGGATGTAATGAATGAATATCATCTACACTATATCCTGTGGATGGAGGTCCTTTTGATTTACCCACACTCGATGATCTGGTACGTCCTCGTGGAGGTACAGGTGTTGTTGGACGAGTTTTAGTAGGTGTCGGTAGTGGTGTCGCCAGTGGTGACACTACTAGAGTTTTTGGCCGATCGCGTTCCAATTGTTTTTTCACAGCTGGTTCTAAATTTTTCAAAATCCTAAAGATGTTTGAGCCAAATTAAGTTTTTTTTTTTTTGTGTGTGTGTGTGTATGCGTGTGTGTGCGCGCGCTCAAACTTTAAAAGGTCGTAAGAAATTGACATACTTTTCTCCTCTTTCTGACCAGACCTCATAAAACGTCCAAAATACGTCACGGCAT